TGATTAAGAGAAGGTGGAGAAGATACTGATAGGATAACATGATTCAGCTGTGGATGTTAGCCAAGCTCATTATAATTGTAAAACTTTGAAACTCTGGCATAGGTATAAAATGAGTTGTCTGAGAAGCAGAAGGGGCATCTCGCTACCGTCAAAGAAGTAGAGGTAGGAGTAGGGTGTCTTTTGGACTCCAAGATCCTTGCAAATTGCACTTCCTTGAACCCAGGGACAGAAAACCATCACAGAAGGAGTGGCAGAGAAGCAGTAGCAGCAGAACCAAGAACCAGAGCATGAGACAGAGCTGTGATCTTCCCAGGCCACAGAACAGGTAAAGCAGAGTGACTTTTGGCAGGGAGCTGGCTTGTAGACTGGGGTGCCTCCAGGCACTTAAGTCGGGGAGCTAGAACCCAGTGCCTAGCTGAGGCTCAATGTGAAGGGGTGTGTCCTATTGGCATTTATCAGCAGCTGCCTGGAACAACTGTGCCCTGAACATTTCTGACCCCAAATTGTAGCCTGTTAACTTCCTTCCGAAATGTGAGTATGGTCTGAGTTCTTCGTAGCCATTACAATGGATTATTGAACCCAACAGTAGAGAGTATTGTTGGAGAAATGGTTTGGTCCCTTATTTGCAGCTAGTATCAGAAGTGCTGCTCATTGTAATGGCTCCAAACTCATGGAAGTATGGGGTTTTGTAAGAGGGAAGGGACATGGGAAACTAATTTTTAAATGGTTACTTTGCTTATTGTTATCTGTAATGGCTGAAAGAAATGTAAGAGATGTTATGCTGCAGTTGAGAGAAGAAAAGCTGCTATTGGAGTCTCCTAAGGCAAAAAGCCAGATAAAAATGATGGCTGATAGGGGCTCGGGGCCTACTGGATCTATCCTGACAGAGGCCCAAGGCCATATGCACATAAACGGAGAGACAGTCCAGGAGTGGAAAAAAGATTAAACTTGGGTTAAACTTTAAAAGATTAAAAAAGGGTTAAGGATTATGTATTTATCTGACTGCACTAGGATATTAAATGCCTCTCCTACTTAGTACTGCAAAGTAGACCTTCTTATGTGATGGGAATTAATATGATTATGTCGATTACAGAGATCTTGTAAGCCCACCTTCAGATTATACATGATTGAATAGGCTAAAAGTGGAGTTTGGAATTGCCCCCCCAAAATGGGCTTTTTGGTTAAGCCTTTGTAGAGCAAGAGTCTCATATGAAAACTTGAGCCCCATCCGTAACTGCTGTGAGAACAAATTTATCTTTGAAGGAAAGACCTGAAGAAAGAGAAATAACTGGGGTTTTGAATTTCAAGTGAGCAGTTTGCTGTTGGAAGCATCGAGGCAGAAAAAATCTGTGCCCACCAAAGAGAACCCCATTCTAGGACTGAAAGTTTAAGGGACTTGGCAAGTAGACAGGCTGGGTTGCTCACTGGTTTTCACTTGGGTCCACTTGATGGCTAGAAATGGGGCAGTATGCAGCAATGAAGAAACTAGTTGAGAGAAGAAAAAGGGCTGGCTGGTGTGAAATATAGGGACTCTTGAGTCTACCAGTACTGACCTACCCCATGGTGGGGCTAGGGCTGAAAGAGTGAGTAAGTGAAGGGGCCAGTTGGTCTGAAGTGCAGGGAGGAGAGCTTGGAGTCCCAAGCTTACAGCTGGTACCCGTTTAACCTAGCAAGGATGGCTAAGACTGAATTGACCCAACCTAATGAAGAAATAGATGTTGATCTAGTATAAATTGCTGAACTTTTGATGATTTGCTGTGAACTGGACTTTGCTTATTAATGCAGATGCCTAAAGTTTCCAACAAAAGTAAAAGATTCTTTACATCAAGGAACATGTTCATCTTCTTAAAAGACTGGGTTGATAGAGATGGGAAATTTAGAAACTGGGTATCTAAAATGGGGGGAGATATGTGTAATGGCTGGCTTACTAGGTTTAATGGATGTGCACAATTAAAGTAATATGGGGAAAGTTCATCCATAATGTATGAAAGGGACAATGGCTAGAAGAGCCAGGGGTGAGCTGTAGTGTAGTGAAGTATCTAACATCTTGTCTAGCCATAGTCGAACTCCCACCAAACAATGTTTCTGAACTACTGGGTCTGGGGAAGAGAAGGTGGGAGAAGATACTGATAGGATGACATGATTCAGCTGTCGACATTAGCAAAGTTCATTGTAATTGTAAAAAATTGGAAGTCTAGTATGGGTTTAAATGAAAAGCAGGCGGGGGCATCTCACTACCATCGAAGAAGTAGAGCCAGGAGTGGAGCACGTCTTTTGGACTCTGAGATCCCTCAAATTGAACTTCTTGGCCCAAGAACAGAAAACTGTCACATCAGAGGAGTGGCAGAGGAGCAGTAGCAGCAGAACCGAGAATCAGCACGAGACAGAGCTGTGGTCTTTCCAGCCCATGGAGCAAGTAAAGCAGAGTGACTTTTGTCAGGAAGCTTGCTTGTAGATTGGGGTGCCTCCAGGCAGGTAAGTGAGGGAGCTAGAGACCAATGCCTCCAGGTTGAGACATATGATGGAGAGGTGTGTCCTATGGGCATTTATCAGCAGCTGACCTTGACTATTATGCCCTGAGCATTTTTGACCCCAAATTGTAACTTGTTAACTTCCCCCAATAAGCCCCATAACTGTATGATGTTTGAATTCTGTGTATTGGAGTTGATGGTTGAATCTAAATGAGCAGTAGAGAGCGCTGTTAGAGAAATGGTTTGGTTCATTTATTGCATTCACTATCAGTTGGAATTGACTTGATGCAATGGGTTGTTAGATTTCATTTCTTGGAAGCCTTATGGTAAAGTAATACCACTTTCTTATTTAGGACTATGGGGCAAATCAAAATATAATAATAAAGCGAAGCAATTAAAGAATATGCTTTTTTCCCCCCCTTAGGAGGGGTTTATCATATAGAAAGGTTTCGCTCTCTGCAGGAAAGGTAAACTATACCTATTTCAACTTAAAAGCTTTGGAGCGAATTCTGCGGTGCTATTACTGCAACCCCTAATTATAGAAGACTTTTAGCATGATAGCGGCAACCAGTTTGAGGAATGTAGAGATTTATTTACAAGAAGTTCAGATAAACAGATAAGAAGAGACTTGAAAAAGCAAGTAAAGAGGAGACTTCAGGAGTATCTGTGAACTCATCTTTGGAACTGCCCTTAGCCACAATGAAAGACCAGCAAAACCAGCCTTCAGAATAACCCTTTGCTTAGTGGGGGAGGAGAAGGCTAGACTTCACGTCTAAGATTGCCCTCCCACGCGAATTTTCCACCTCAGGGCTAAGTACTAAGCACAGACTTCAGATCCTGGAGATCACAGGTCATCTTCTCCCCACTGCCTGGCAATATCCCACTTAAATTGCCTGTTTCCACGGGGGAGGGGGGGTTTAGAAGACACCCCCCCCCAGGAGAGCATGCCCTCTCCTATTGCTTGTTACTTGGGTGCAGACATTTGCAAATCAGAAAAATGGTTTAAAGAACCTGGATATTTTTGGGATCCATGGAAGCTGATTTACGAAAGAGGCCTTCTCCTCTCCTTGGGTGAGAAAACTTGCCACCAGTCTAACGTGAGACAGGAACTCCCTACCGCAGTTGTCCTCTGCGAGGCCCCTGGGCACCCACCCCTAGACAGACAGCACTGCTGAACGGTTATAGAATTTTAAAAGCAAGAGCTTCCTTTTTGGCTTCAGATCCTTCTGATTGTTTCAGTAATCCTGTCAGCCAAGAAGAGGAAGAGAATGGGTGCTCGAAGAAAGCAGGATGCCAGTAAGAGCAAAAATCCCGGCTTTTGTTTGGGTCAGTGAGGGGAACCTAAAGAGGCCAAGGTCTCTGGTTCTCGCAAAGGCGGGCCCGTCTGGGTTCTTTGGGCCACGAAGTATCAGGCTCTGGCCAGTAAAACAATGAGGTGGTTCTGCCCCTTGAGGCTTTACTCCAAGAGTCCTAGAGGAGGCGGTGGCGTCTCAGTCAGGGGCTCCAAAGAGTTGGCCGAACGCTGGACAAAAGGTGTGGCCGTCCTCTCTTACACACATTTACAAGTTCCATGTTATCCACGTTTGGAAGTGTGTGTGTGTGTGTGTGTGTGTGTGAGTGTGTGATGTTACCCACGTTTGGAAGTGTGTGTATGTCTGTAGGAGGAAGGCCATTGTGGAGCATCGCGGGCTGCTGGCCTTAGGCGGCTCTCAGCAATTCAGGGGCAAGACACGCCACGCTAGGACCGCGCGAGGACCACCAACTCCTCCACAGTCAGTTCGGGTGCGAGGGGCGGGGCTGGGCGGGGCCCTGGGAGCGCAGGCGCAGCGCGAGCCTAGTCTCGCCGCCGCCCGCGCTGCACCACAGGCCTGAGACAGACAGGGCTGGGAAGAGCTGGAGACTGAAGGAGGAGGCGGAGGTGGCGGGGGCGGGGCAACTCCAGTGACTGGGAGCGCCGCAGACTGGCAGCTGTGGCGACTCCCCCCTTTGTGTCTGGTCTGTTCGGAGCCACTGGAAGTGCTTCCCGGAGGGGCGCAGGGTGTCTTCACCGCCTCTCTTCCCACCCTCCTCCCCAGCCACCTACATCTGCCCTCCCGCCGGCCCCCGCCGTCGGCCCGCGACGCCGGAGCTCCACCCGGAGCCCAGAGTTGCGGGAGAACGAGGCGCCGGCGGCGGCAGCGGCTTTCTAGGGGGGTTGTGATTCGCTCACCAGAGCTACTGAGGCGAGAAGAGGAGGCTTTCCTGGTGGACTCTACCTCCTGCTAGATCGAGAGGCAGGAATCAACGAGGAAGAAAGAGGAGCGCACCGGGAAGGCCAGAAAGGGGAGCCTCCCGGGCACCTCCCCAGCCTGCCGTCCCCTCCCCTCCCCCTCTTGCCGTCGCCCCTCAGCCCTGTGGCCCGACCCAGCGGGACCCTTGCAGTTTGCTCCGCGGCGGAGGCGTGGAGCCTGTGGATTTGTCCATGGAGAAAGGCACCTTTTTTGATCGCGTCGAGCCAGAGCATTTGGTATTGGCGAAATCGGAGTGAAGGAAGCACCGAAGCGAAACTTAAATAGAGAACCTGCCCTCCTGAAGCTGCTGGCGATGCGACTCGCGCCACTGGGCGCTGCCGCCGTTTGCCCGGCTTCGCCCTTCGCGGTGGTCGGGAACTAGTTCTCATCCTCGGCGCGGCCCCCGAATCCCCGCCCTCCACCCCTCGGCACTCTGGATATGTTTTCGCCCGTACCTGGATATTTTTTTGATATTGTGAAACTACGAGGGGAATAACTGGGGATTTCGTCTCAGCTCCCTGCCTTCCCCACGGACATGCCTTCAATTTGGGGGGCCGCGAGGCACCCCGTCCTAGGCGAGTGAACCCCCCTCCCCCCAGCCTCGAGGGAAGAAAATGAAGGCAGTTTCTGCAGCGGAATGAAAGCTCTGCAGCTAGGTCTTCTCATCTGCCATTTGTCCTTTCAAACTGCATCGTAATATACGGGCAGGACGAGTCCGACGAGCGCCACGCTGAGCCTCGCGGGCATTTCTCCGCCCGTATTTACTTTCCACAGTCCTTTTCTTTGCTCTTTTGCTTCTTGGCTGGCCACAGGATGACTTCGTCGCTGCAGTGTCCTCGGCGGGTGCCTTCGCTGCTGTGGGCCGTCCTGCTGGTCAGCTCGGCGGCCGGTGAGTAGCCTCCCACCGGCGGGCGGGAGCCCACGGAGGCCGGGCCGCGCTCGCCCCTCGGAGGGTGCCGTGGCCTCGGACCTGGGTGCTTCTTCTGCGTCGGGTGGAAAGGGCCTTTAACGTTTTCGTGCCGTTTCCTGTCCCCACTTCCAGACTCCCCACCCTTCCCCCACGGATTAAAAAAAAAAAGACACTGGGTGTGGTATCTTGACATTTTTAGCTGTGAGGTAATGCAGGGATTAAAAATAATATTTTAATCACTAGTGAACAGTGCCTATTATGAGATCTTGGGAAACAGACCTGTCGATTAATTTAATTTTTTTTTTTTTTTTACTATGTCGTTGTTGTTAAGTGCCGTCTAGTCGGTTCTGACTCTTAGCGACCCTGTGTAGGGTTTCCGAGAAGCGGCTGGTGGGTTTGAACTGCCGACCTTGTGGTTTTCAGTCCAACTGTAGAACACACGCTTGAACCTTATGTTTCGATTTAGATCAGCGTTTGAGAATCCATTGTTACTTTCTTGATTTCAACATGTTGCAGAATGAATAGAATAAATGTGGAGGAACCAGAATGGTAATACAATGTATACACAATACGTGGTGTGCATTGTATACAGTGGGTAAGGTGGTGAACTATGGTTACCATAAGTCCTATTTGGATTCAAAGTATTTTAGGAATGATATCTTTATCTTGTCAAGCTAGTCACTCGTATTTTGCATGCTTTTGGAATTGTTGTGCAAAGCAGTGTTTTCTGGGCACTGGGGCCCAGAAGTATTTCTGGCATCTGTTGACTTTCTGGTCACTGAGACATCTTTGACCTGACATCAGACTTCTAGGACATTCGAATCCTGAAAGTTCTTCGACATTTTGCCGAAGCTTAACGGGAAATGGTAGCCCTCCTAGCCTTTGGATATTTTCTTTTTAGTTCTTAGACGCCTTAGAAAAAACACCTCATGTCTCAGTTGCATTTAACTACTTGTAATTCTTAAGTTTGGTTTACAATGGCCGAATAGGCTATACTTTTTAAAAACGAGTAAAGGACATGACCGTTTGTCAGTTTTCTTCTTTTATTAAGTGTGCATTTTCATATTTAATATATTTCACAAGGGTTACTTAATTTCCTTTTTAAAAAATCTGTACTGGGAAAATACAGAATTTCAAGTTACTTTTTTATGCTTTTGATATTATTGACTAATGTATACTGTTTTTAAGATACATATAGTTGTGTTAAACAATTAGAACTTCTGAATTGAATGCACTTTGAAGCTGATATTTTCATATTCTTAATGTGGTGGTTAAGATACAGGCTATATAAACTCACAGTTCTGGTTACATCACTGCATCTGTGTATCCTTTTTGAGATAAAAAGATGTGATTTTCTCTTTTTCGCTTGATACTGTTAGCTATTTAATTTCTCTAGCTTTAAGCCCTGTGGTTTGTGTAAGATATGGAGAGTCAAAGGTTTTAAGCTCAAGTAAGCCATTCAATGAGCAGAAATCTTAGTGCACAGGGAGTTTCCACTATTCTGTTATTTTTGGCCAATTTTGACTCGTTTCTCACTTGTAGTGCATGCTTATCATTTTGTCAGAATGAATAAAACTACGATAAAAGCCACTGATTTAAAAGTAAATTTCTATTTGGTAAATGAAATGTTCTTAGAATTGTGACCCTTAAAAGGGCTAAGTTAAAAGAATCACTGCTTTTTTTGTCTTTAGTATTACATGCCACTAGATATAAACATTTACAAAGCTGGATTTCCGAGCTGTAGCAATTCATTGTTGATAAAGTTCCTTTGAGTTGGTTCTGACTCATTGTGACCCTGTATAGGATTTCTGAGGAGCAACTGGTGAGTTTGAACCACCAACTTGTAGCTCAAGCTGACCTTGTGGTCCACTGCTTAGCCTATAGCGCGACACCAGGACTCCCAATAACAACGCGTATTTATTGGGCACTTGCCGTACATCAGTGGCTATTTTCATCACTTCACATGCCATTTTCTCGTTTGATTCTCATGCTGGGTTATATTGTTGTTGTTAAGTACCATGGAGTCAGTTCCAACTCATAGTGACCCTGCACAG